GATATGTTTAACCATTCAAATCTATTCAGAGTCCTTTTAAGGGATAAGATTAAATAAGAAAAATGTCCAAAAGGGAACTCCACAAAAAGGCAGAGGAATTAAATGGAGAAACTGAGTGGAATCACCCTTTAGTAATAAGGAAGAAGAAATGGAAAAGGAGAAAACTTTTTGAAAGCTAGAAAATTATGAGATTTGGATTTTTGCTCAGTGGCATAAAAGATTAAGCAATTTAAACAAGAGCTGAAGGGATAATGAGGACAAGGTATGAAAGAGCTTGGAAACATTAATAAACAACTTACAAAAGTGTTTTATCAAATACCAGAGATTGCACAGACTTCTAGCAAAACATATGCCGATGCTATAAAAAAATGAGCTTGATATTGCAAAAGTTCAAAAAGATATTACAGACATTAAACTAGATTTAGCAGATGTCTAGGACCAGAAGAGATGAGAGTTAAAGGCATCAGAGAGAATGTAGAAAAGACTGATTTAATTGGATATCTTATCTCCAAGATTAATAACTTCTTGCTAGATGTTGAGCTTTCAGACAAAGATGTAGAATTCTAGGCTCATCTGAATATAAAAGCCAAGAAATGTCATCACAAGATTTGTAAATACTTTGGATGAAAAACAAAGTTGTTCAAAGAAGCTGTGAGCTAGAAGAAACAAACTAGGAAAGATATTGTTTTTCAAGATATTAGTTAATTCATTTATAAGGCTTATAAGAACACCCAACTTAAGAGAAACAACTCTGAGCAGCTCACAGCAGGGGTGCAAAACTCAAACTCCATAAAAGCAATTAAAAATAACAGGCACCACAACTAATCTCCTCCAATGCAGCCAAAACCACCACTCCCAAACTCTGTGCTAACTCCGTCAAAGTACTTGAAGGGAAGAACCAGCTCTTTAGGCCTTCTGAAAGATTTAGATGGTAGGGATCTACTGGATCTCAAGAGGGATGGCATTCCACAGGGCAGGGGGTGTTATGGAAAAGGCATACCTCCTAAATAGCAAGAGATGACAACATTTAAGGTAAGGGATCTGGAACATGCCTGTTGTATCTAATTTCATGGGATGGGTAGATGCCCACAGGGAGAGGGAGAGGTTAGAATAGAATAGAATAACAGAGTTGGAAGGTACCTTGCAGGTCTTCTAGTCCAACCCCCTGCTTAGGCAGGAAACCCTACACCACTTCAGACAAGTGGTTATCCAACATCTTATAAAGTTCCAGTGTTGGAGCATTCACAACTTCTGGAGGCAAGTTGTTCCACTGATTAATTGTTCTAACTGTCAGGAAATTTCTCCTTAGTTCTAAGTTGCTTCTCTTCTTTATTAGTTTCTACCTATTGCTTCTTGTCCTACCCTCAAGTGCTTTGGAGAATAGCTTGACTCCCTCTTCTTTGTGGCAGCCCCTGAGATACTGGAACACTGCTATCATGTCTCCCCTAATCTTTCTTTTCATTAAACTAGACATACCTAGTTCCTGCACCGTTCTTCATATGTTTTAGCCTCCAGTACCCTAATCATCTTTGTTGCTCTTCTCTGCACTCTTTCTAGAGTCTCCACATTTTTTTTTAACATCGCGGCGACCAAAACTGAATGCAGTATTCTAAATGTGGCCTTAGCAAGGCAGGTCTCGTTCCAAGTAGGATTTAAAAGGTAATAATCAATACCTTGAATTACATTGTGAGATAAATGTGGGAGGCAGTACAGTCTGCACAAGAAAGGGTATAACTTGAGTGGAGGGTATAACCTGGGTGAACCTATGTGTACTCTATAATGCCCATGCCACCAGATTCAAGACCTGAATGATATTCAAGGACAGCCCTGTGTCTCATGTAGAGTGCACAGCACTAGTCCAATGTGGAAATTACTAAAATATCTAGGCATATATGAACAAGGCCTCCCAACAATTGATGCACAAGATGAATCTTTACAAAGTCCCCCTAGGCACTTGTTCCTCTAATAGGAGCTGTGAAGGCACCCAAATTGTGGAGCAGTTTTGTCAGGAAAAGTCTAGAGTCAAAGATGACATCATGAAGACTGAGGCTTCAAAATTCAAAGCCATTCCATCTTGCCATAGTTGAGACAGAGTTAGTTCCTCCTCATCCAGATCCACACAGCCTTTTTGGGCACTGAATCAGAACTACAGCAGCATCACCTACCGAGGCAGAAGTAGAGATGTATAATGGGGTATAATCAGCCTACTGATGATACCACATATCATCCATCAAATGACTTCACCCAGCATTATGTAGCTGTTGAAGAGGAGTGGCAAGTGACCGTAGCTATGAGGAGCCCCAGACTGCAGGCCCATCCCCCAGTAACATTGATTGGAAGTGGTCACACTGGATGGAGAAGAATCACAACAAAATGGTGCCTTCCATTCTTAATCCCCAGAGCCAACCCAGAAGGATATCCTGATTAATAGTATCAAAATCTGCCAAGATTTCCTGGAAGGTTGAGCCAGTTATACCATCTCAATCCTGACTTCTTCCGAGATCATCTGTAAACGTAATCAATGTTGCATCAGTACTATACTCTGGCTTGAACCCAGAATTTAAATGGGAATTTAAAAGCAGATAATCTGCTTCATCCATTGCCCTCTGCAGCTGAACACCAACCACCCTCTCAACAATTTCCCCTAAGAAGAGAAAGTCAAAGACTGGATGAAAGATATACAATATTGTGAGTCCAAGGATGGCCTTTAAAATGGGGTTGCAGCACTGCCTTCTTTCAGATGCAATAAAGGCAATGGTGGGATTCAGCTGGTTCAGGCTGGTTCTGGTGAACTGGTAGTTAAATTGCTGGCTGGTTCCGCCCCTCTCCTCTGTGCCCCTCCCCTGAGTCCCCACGTGTCCCATTTTGGCTCCCAGTTAAGTGCAGGGTGGCCTCTTAGGCCTAAAATGGGGCACGGGGGAGTGCGGCACCTCCCATGACCTGTTTTCACTCCCAGGAGGCTGCAGGGAGGCCTCCTAGACCCAAAACGGGGCATGAGGGTGACATTCCCCTGCAGCCCATTTTTACTTCGGGGGGATGCAGGAGACCAAATGCTGCGGGTCACACCCCCTGGCCACGCCCACCATGGCCATGCCCATCCAGCCAGTCCTTAGGGCAGAAAACCGGTTGTTAAATTATTTGAACCCCACCACTGAATAAAGGTGAATGATTGCTTTAACACTCCATGAGGAATGCTTCATTGCATGCTTCTCAGGACACCAGCTCTAATTTTGAATGTTTCACTCTTAAAGAGCTTCATAAATCTGAAGTGTTGTACATTCAGCTATGTTTGTGATTCAGATAAAGGAACTAAGCTGAGAAAAAAATTGTGCCACAACAAGCTGGCATAACATAATGTCTCCATATTTGGAATAACAATACCAGTTAAATTTGGCTGGAATCAATGAACAAAAATTCATTCACTCTTGGCCAAATGTTTACATATTCTTTACGAATGGATTGGAAAGGGTAGAATTAAAATAATTGAACTAGAAAGGAGTAAACTAGGCAAGTAAATAAGTTGCCTAGTCATTGCTAATATGTGTTAGAACCTTGAATTGTTTCATTACAATGCAAAGCATCAATAACCCAAATGGCCAGCTAATAGAGGAAGTTCTTATCTCACCATAAGTAACATGTAGGAAGGAGATTTAAAAGAGGGATGAGGATCCAGATGGATCTCAACAGACTTTAGCCCTGGGCTCTATCTAACAAAATAAAATTCAACGTATATCAAAGTAAGGATTAACACTTAGACAAGAAAAATCAAATGTACAGGTCCCGATTAGGAGAAACCTGGCTCAATAGGAGTAACTGTGAGAGAAAATGTGGAGTCCTAATAGACAATCACTTAAATATGAGCCAGCAGTGTGCGTCAACAGCCAGAACAAGCCAACACTATCCTAGGTTGCATTAACAGAAAGATAGAATAAAGATCAGGTGAAGTATCGATTTATACAACTTTAGCAAGACCGCAGTTAGAACACTGCATCCAGTTTGGGTCACTGTATTATAAAAAAGATGTAGAGACTCTGGAAAGAGTGCAGAAAAGAGCAACAAAGATGATTAGGGGGCTGGAGGCTAAAACATATAAAGAATGGAATTGGGTAATGAAAAGAAGGATTAGGGATGACATGGCAGCAGTGTTCCAATATTTGAGGGGCTGCCACAAAGATGAGAGAGTCAACCTATTTTCTAAAGCACCTGAAGGCAAGTCAAGAAGCAATGGATGGAAACTAATCAAAGAGAGAAGCAACCTGGAATTAAGGAAAAACTTCGTAACAGTGAGAACAATTAACTAGAGGAATTGCTTGCCTTCAGAGATTGTGGTGCTCCATCACTGGAGGCTTTTTAAGATACCACTCACTTTTCTGGAATGGTACAAGGTCTCCTGCTTGAGCAGGGATTGGATTAGAAGACCTCTAAGATTCTTTTCAACTCTGTTATTCCGTTCCTTATTGCCACCCATACAAGCCAAGACAAATCAAGCCAAGAAACAAATGCTATTTATGGCTAAAATCACTTTTATTAATATTGGCTGTAGTAACAGAACCTTGGAAATCTGTATGTGCTTCTTCTCCTCTCTTTTATTTATATGAATTTAGGAGGTGTTTGTCTGAGACTTTTCAATGTTCATCCCCTTATCACCGTGGTAATAGCTCTTCCTTCTCCCCATCAAGGTCATCCTCTTTATTCTCAGCAGTCAAACAGAGCATTAGCTGGTGAAATCATTACCGCAAGACATGTTTATGGGGACTGAGGTGGATGGCTTTAAAACTGGATGGGGAATTCTTGGAGAACAGGTGTAGCAAAGGTCTTTGGTTCTGGAGACTGACTCACTGTTACTTTACAGTTAGGTGCAGAATGACTCTTCTTGCAATTACAAGAGGGAACAATAGCAGGAGCCTCACCTTTGGCCTATAAGAATGTAGGAGGCATCTGGTTGACCTCTGTGAGTGTCAGCCCTTCAGGGTAATTGAGACAAGAAACCAATACCATGAGTAGTAACGCTACCTTTATTGTAAGGTTACAGAAACAAAATCATGTTAATGTTAAAGCATCTCTCTACCCCCTTGCCTTTACTTTGCAGGGAACTAGGGAGGGTCCCCTCTGAGATGCTTTCCACACCCTGTTCCTTCTGTGGGCTGAAATGTATCTTATCTGACTATGGCCCTGGTCTTTCCTCCTCCTGTCTCCAAAGGATATTCCTACAGACCATTGTAGTGATCAACAAAATATTGGAAGAAGATAAGCCTGAGCTTGTTCTGCATGGCTATTCTTATGTGCAGATAGAATAACAATGTCAAAGGAAGCGTATATTTGTCTGTAAACCACCAGAAGCATGCAAGTATGATGAGCAGAGTAGAAATTTAATAAATAAGAAATAAATTTCAGAGTCACAATTGTCAATCAAATATCCTTGCCATCTTGTGCATTTTATGTATTGCATTTCATGCGTTATACTTCTTCACATATTGCATGGGGTGGGGGGGAATCCAAGCTTGTCAATGTAGATCTTTAAAAAGATACTGTATTGTTTATGCATCCCTTAAATTTGAGCAATTTATACCATCATCCACCATTGTCCCAAGAGATCACTGTCTTAAACTTTCCCAGTAGATGATGTCTCTGTTAGTTACTGTTAATTGAACTCTAAATCTGAAGCTTCTTGGGATATAAGGAAATAAAACTCTCGCTCTCTCTTTTGCTAATAGCTGGGGCCAACACTTGCAAAACTTCAAAGGGGGTTGTGAATCAAAGCTTTTCATCAGTGGGGCTGCTCGTCTGAGTTCTAATCTTTCATGTTTTCTAATGCAATAACATCAAAGGAACCCAAAGAGAATTGCAGCCGCTCCAAAGCAATGTTGAACACACTCACAGTAAAATAGTTAACAACCACCCCACAATTAAAAGAAGAAAACAATTATTTACATAAGTTATAGTGTAATAATCATGATTACTGCCCCCTCCCCTTACAAAAAAAAAATCAGATTGTATAGTTCAAAAGTAATATCCAGTGCTCAAGGGACCGCTGGAAGAAAATGAAAAAGAATTAGGAAGTGTCTTATGTATAAGTCTTCAAAGCCAAAGCAACCAATTTATGTTTCATTCTTACTTACTGAAATGTCGTTTGCATATTTTATTATTCCTATCATCTTGCTTGTTACAATCCATCCAAGGAATTCTCAAAGAACATTAAGTCCTACAAATAAATAAACTGTGAATGATGAGCAAGATACAAAATGGCAACAATTAATATCAAAAAGCTGACTTGTAAGGTTTCATTACACCAAAGACTTTTATTATGCTTATTATTATTTTTATTAGACAGCTGCTCTTCTGTGTGGTGCCTCTGGGCAAAGACAATTTTGTGCTAGAAGAAATTGGAAAGCCTTAAGTATCAGGAGAATGTTATTTCTAGTCTTGTATGAATAAAGTAGTGGAATAACAACTAGTTGGTATGCAATTTTCTTTAAAAAGTTATATGACAGCTTTAGGGTTGCAGAAGGGAAAGCAGAAGTGGAACATAACTTGTCTAGGCTTCCTTCTTTGCTGATAAGTATTTCCAGCAGGGTTTTAAAAATGCCATGTAATAAGTTTCTATCAATACTACATACCATATTTTTCGGAGTATAAGACACACCTTTTTCCCCAAAAAAGAGGGTGAAAATCTGGGTGCGTCTTATACTCCGAATGTAGCCCCGCCCAGCTTCTCAAACTGAGGTTTCAGAGGCTGAAAAAAGCATCAGAAATGAAGCTTCAGGAAAAAAAGCCCCCAAACAGAGCTTCAGAGGCTTTTTTTTCTGAAGCTGTTTCAGAGGCAGAATTTTTTTTTTTCTGAAAAAGAATTTCAGAAGTTTCAGAGGCAGAAAAAAAAGTGAAAAAAAGCAAGGCACAGAGGTCACAACCAAGGAACCTGTTGCTAAAATTCACTTCTGGGAACAGCTGATTGATTCCGGGAGGCCGATCCACCTGCCAATTAGCTTTTTTCTTATTTTCCTCCTCAAAAACTAAGGTGCGTCTTATATTCTGAAAAATACGGTATTTGAAATATTAGGGCTACAGTTCCCATAATTAATATGCTTGCCTAGCAAAGGTCATGATATTTCCTTCCCATTGACTTTGATAATACACAGAACAATAATCCAAAATAAGAACAAAGATATATACATCCCAATATAAGTCTATTGTATTTAGCGCAGAGTTTACCAGCCTTTGGTAGTAGCAGAAATGATTATATAGATATATCTTTAAAAGTTATCAAGTGATACGTCGCTTATTTTTGGGATGTATCAAAATATTATAAAGTAATCAAGAGAGAAGAAAGAATGGGAAACATACTTACTAGGAGAAAGCAAGCACCAATCATCACAGCTTTGATTTTTACATCAAGGTCCACAGGAATCTGAATGCCGAAGTTGGCTGTATTAGTAAATATGTTATTGACAAATCCAGACCAATACTTAGAAATCTTGCCAATAGTTGACATATCATTTAAAGATTTTACCTGCAGGAAAGAAAAAAAAACAGCATAGAAATTATTTGGAAAACTTCACCTGTCTATTTCTGAAATATTTAAATAATTTATCTAACTGTGATGAGTCCTTCTGACACACTGTTGGTTATCAAAGTAACAAATTGATATTTACTGAGGATTTTCTCTCCACTTGGCTAAGGATATTCTTAGCATGCTAAGTGTTAGGGTAGGATAGGATAGGACAGGACAGGACAGGACAGGACAGGATAGGATAGGATAGGATAGGAGTTGGAAAGGACCTTGGAGGTCTTCTAGTCCAACCCCCTGCTTAGGTAAGGAACCCTACACCACTTCAGACAAATGGTTATCCAATTATCTTCTTAAAAATTTCCAGTGTTGGAGCATTCACAACTTCTGGAGGCAAGTTGTTCCACTGATTAATTGTTCTAACTGTCAGGAAATTTCTCTTTAGTTCTAAGTTGCTTCTCTCTTTGATTAGTTTCCACCCATTGCTTCTTGTCCTGCCCTCAGGTGCTTTGGAGAATAGCTTGACTCCCTCTTCTTTGTGGCAGCCCCTGAGATATTGGAACACTGCTATCATGTCTCCCCTAGTCCTTCTCTTCATCAAACTAGCCATGCCCAGTTACTGCAACCGTTCTTCACATGTTTTATTTCCAGTCTCCTAATCATCTTTGTTGTTCTTCTCTGCACTCTTTCTAGAGTCTCCACATCTTTTTTATGTTAGCATAAGCGAAGTTGAAGGCCAATAAAATGGAATGCAGAGCAGGTGGTGTGTATGTGTGTGTTGCCCTTGTGGAACTAGGAGTTTTTCCTATGGTTTTGTGATTTGATGTTAATAGCGTTGTTGTTTGCGAGCCATCCTGGATTATGATTCATCAGATGGGAGGGCAACTGTTTAAAATAAATGAATGAATGAATGAATGAATGAATGAATGAATGAATGAATGAATGTTGGGATAGGCAACCTATGTTCCCAAGGCTGGATATAACTTTCAACCATACTGTCTGTGTTCTCTGTGGCCTTTTGGGCCTCACTACCAAAGTTTATTTCCCTACATTTTGGAAACAAACCAGAAATAATGTGTATGCCTGAAACAGGCATTAATTTAATTTAATTTAAATTTAATTTAATTTAAAACTTAATTTAACATGAAAAAGAAAACAAATATCTCAAATCCCAGGAAAACCAAAAAAATCATGGTCCAACCAATACATACGGTATATGACATTGCCTCTGACCCTGATTCTTTCCCCAAACCTTTAGGTCCAGGTGACTGGAGTCTCGAATGTTGTATTGCAGAACATTTCAGTCTAGTTGACATTTTCTGGCTTTAGCTGGCATTTAAAGTATTATGTGCTTTTTGTATTTGTATTTGACTCTAGTTATCCAGAGTAATTTTTTTTGATTTGGGTGATCAATAAATACATGCAGAGCATGGACCCACTTTTCCTCATCATCTTAGTCCCAGTAGTTCTTGCTGCTTAAAACCATTAAGACTGAACTCAACTACCACCCCTCTTTTAAGTGATGGACAAGTAAGGGCAAGAATATTTCAAGTGATGGATACCTGGTGTGCCTAAGAATGCCATTTTCTGAAAAAAGCCTTTTTCAACTATGGCACTTCTGCAAATAACATTCAAAGACTCTCTCTAACTGTCCCATTAGCAACATGGATAGGCCATATAGAACTTGTATTAATAAAACCATTGATGGGCGAAATTTTTCTGAATTTGGAACTATCTAAAACTTTTGAACTAATGACCATCTTGTAAAAGCTAGTTGCAATCATTTATTTTACATTCACTGAAGAGGTACTTTCACTTAACTCTTCTGTTCTGTATCTTGGCAGTTGTGTGTGTGTGTGTGTGTGTGTGTGTGTGTATGTGTGTGTGTGTGAGAGAGAGAGAGAGAGAGAGAGAGAGAGAGAGAGAGAGAGAGAGAGCACACAGAGAGAGAGAGCACACACAGAGAGAGAGCACACAGAGAGAGAGCACAGAGAGAGAGAGGGGGGAGAGAGAGAGAGAAAGACACAGATAGAGTGCGTGTCTAACTTCCTTTTATTCACTTTTTCAATAGTAGTGTGTCATGTCTCTCAACTGCTCTGCAAATAACTATTCAAACTATTCATAACTATTCAAACTGACATTGTTGCTAAGATATTGGAATGAATCACATACTGTGGAAAATAGATATTGCCTTTACAGTATGCCTACCTTCTAGGAGCTATTAATGCTCCAAGGAGAAGACAAGGAATATAAGAGTCACCTGCATAGAATTATTAATTGAAATTGCATTTATGGACTGCAACTCAGGGTTTTCCTGAAACCAACATCGTCCAGAGGGGGTAGATACTGCAGCTCCCTCAATTTCCTGTCAGTTTGGCCAAAGGTGCCCAACATGAACTTTCTAGATAACAAAACACTGATTCATTTCACTCTCTCTCTCGCAAAGCCTGCCTGACATTTCTGATGCAGATTCTTATTACTGAAAACTCAAATAATGTTGCCAAAAGAACCTCAAAATCAACATCTCCAAAGCAACCGCATGTGATGTAAGGACCTGTGATCTTCAACACATCTTCATTATTCCCATTCCGGATTGTAAATATTGGTAGCAGGGGGTCCCATTTCTGCACAACGTAGCCAATTGTGGTTCCAGGAGGTGACTGAACTTCTAACTAGTAGGCAATCAAAAATACAAGTGACAGCATATGAATAATATACCTGATGCATATATTCATTTGTTTTGTTTTATTCTTTAAATGGTACAGACACAACATGGGCATTCCTACCAAGCTTTGCATTCAGCCCTAAAGTGCTTCTAAAATTTGGGGCTGAATCATTATGTTTGGCTGCTTATTAAGCTTATTTTCTTAACAATCTTGAAGTTTTACAATGAAAACATAAAACTATAGTTAAAACTGAAGAAATTAACAAAATTAAAATACAATAATGTATGACTGAAGATGAAAATCAATTTAGGTTAATTACATTATTTTTCCTAGTCTCACCGTCCTTTCTTCTATCTCTTTTCAGTTTCTGAAAGAAGAAACTCCAGGAACAAGTGGAGCTTTTTGCCATAAAAGTTCTTTTACTTTAAGGTATAATCTGTTATTTAAAATTAATCAGAGAGAACCTGTTTGTTCTATTAATATGAAATATCTGAAATTTTCTTAGTATATTGCGAGCTCTTTAGCCAATGTATATTCACCCACACATATACATAAATAGTTATATTTTCAATTTCTCTCCTTATATCATAAATTCTTTCAAAACAGGGATGCTGGGTGAGGGAGTATGGTTTATGCTATAAAGTTGATGTTATAAAAATACTACTATTGTTGCTAATTGTAATTATCATCACATCACTCCTTAGTGGCATAAGGCTCACATGTGGACTCCTGGGCACAGAAATTATGGAAGAAATAAAACTGGAAAAGAATATCTCTAGAGATTGGAAGGCTTGCAAGACATTTACGAGGTTTTTTTTTTAATCCCACTCTTTAAAAATCTTACTGTATTGAACTGAATTGCTTTGAATTGAGTTTTTATTAGAATGTACTTCCAAATTCAAAACAATTTCCACATCAAAGTATGTTATAAATTCAAATTAATCCAAATATGCTTTTTTCATCTGAAAAAAGATGAGAACTGAAACATCTTCAAAGAAAAACTAGAAAGTCCAGTTGCCTCTTGAAGAAAAACATCTTTGGGATAACCACGACCTGGATGGCTGAGAATCTCCATAGTCAAATTAATCCAGTTACTCTATAATTAAACTATTTTTAAACATTACAAACCTGTTGAAGATAGCATGGAAACAAACAGCTACTACATCTTAAAGGTCTGTTCACAGTTATCACCTCTTGACCAGTATTGTCTGTGATTCTTATGGTGAAAGACCGTAATGGTGCACAGAAGTTCCGATCAAAGAAACCATTTTCTTCCACAGCATAATAAACTCTTTGCCCCATGTGATTTTTTATCTCATATTTACTGCAGGTTTCAGTTCCGAGTATAACTATAATCAAAGGGATAGACATTTTGAACAATACTACATTTACATTTAAAGCTCAGTCAAATCTAAACTTTTTTAGATCAGATGTCTCAACTACCAAATAGCCCACATAAAATGAGGTTATGTTATTAGCTTTGGATTCATTCATTCCATTAGCACAAATCTCATTCCAGTTTGTGTGCAGTAATTGATAGCAATAGCAATAGCACTTAGACTTATATACTGCTTCACAGTGCTTTACAGTCCTCTCTATGCAGCTTACAGAGTCAGCATATTGCCCCCAACAATCTGGGTCCTCATTTTACCCACCTCAGAAGGATGGAAGGCTGAGTCAACCTTGAGCCTGGTAAGATTCGATCTGTCAAATTGCAGGCAGCTGGCAGTCAGCAGAAGTAGCCTGTGGTACTGCATTCTAACCACTGCACCACCATGGTTCCTATGCTGTTCCTTATACCAGGGGTCACCAACCTTTCGGACCTCAGAGACCACCAAATTCATAATTTTAAATTCTGTGGACTACTAATATAATTTTTTAAAAAAGATAAATAGTATTTAGTGCAATATAAAAAATGCAAATAATTTTTCTGCGGACCACCAGTGGTCCATAGACCACCAGTTGATGACCGCTGCCTTATACAATAGACTGCAGCATAAGGATTATATTAGCATCAGATGGAACTCAGTAGCCTAATATTTTATTATGCTAAATATCACATAGGATATAACATGAGCTGATTCATTCAAGGAATGCACCAGCCTATTAAAATTTTTCAATATTACTTGGTTTTAGTGAGAGAAAAGCATATAGTTACTTCTGTAAGCAAACCAACCACTTGCTTAAAACTTAACAAATGTGAAAGGTTTTATGAACCAGAAACAGGCAAATTTGGCCATCTTCTATTTAGTATAGGAATCCAGACTTCAAATACCTTGAAGAAGCTCCACTTGCTGGTGAATAATGATCTGATCCAACTGTTCAAAATTGAAGAGATAACTTGAGAACACTAAAAATCTGAGAACAGTTAAAGAAGTTCATACTTATCAACTACCTTCATTGATAAATCAAAAGATTTTGCAGGGTGTAATAGAAATTCAATAATGTGAACTAATTGGAGTAGAACTAAGCCAAATTTGCATAGGGAGATTCAGAGAATCTATTTGGAAAAAAATATGTTAGAAATATTTACAGCATCATGTCTGTAAAAATTCTGCTCATATATGATGTGAAGAAAATGAAATGGAACACCTAAAATTAAGTAGGGTCAAACAGTAAGAAACCACAATGTCCTTCTATTGCCATATTATTACTAGCTGGTGGTAGTAATCATGACCCTTGAGTCTCTAACTATTCTGATGAAGACTCTAATAAAGATCAGCCTGATTAAAAAAATATAAAAGAGCCAAGCTGTTTATTATGCTTCTTATAATTCCCAGTGGAAACAATATTACACCAGGAAAACCTTCTTGGAGAAAAACCAAGAATATGCTGCACTGATGAATTACTCATTAATTTTTTTCCATTTAAATTGGAAAGCAAGTAAAATGTTGCATTACACAATAATTTCAGTTCTTGAAATGACTCGTGGACCTTTAAAACAGGTGATCATTCTGAAGCAACATTCAGATTTTTTTTTTAAACAGGGCTGTGACATTTAGCATGAGGAGGAAGGAACTTATTATTCAGACCCAGAAACTTAATCAGAAAGAAGAGAGACATCTTTCATAACACTGTCACTGACACAAACACTTTTGACACTGAACAAGTTTATTCCCTTCTTTCAAGATATGGAAAAATCCAAATCCAACCTTCATTATTTAATGATAAGAGAGTTTTGGAATCTGCTATGCTGTTATGACTGAACAGGATTTCTAGCAACACTTTTCATGGAGTATTTGGAAGTGTTTGATCAAATTTGATAGCGCTAGACACAGAGCCTTAGATCAAACTGCAGTGATGGTGTGACAGACATTCTAAGGTTTCATAATTTGAATTTGATTTCACAAGTTAGGTCCAGCTGCAAATCAAAAGTTGTGCTTTGTAGAAAACTTCAAAACTAGCTTCTTTCATGCTATAAATCTGAGCCTGGAGCAGAATATTAGATGGGTTAGACCACTTATTTATTTATTTATTTTGCAGAAAAAGACAGATCGTAACAAAATCATATTTTGCTCTTAAACCTTTGCTCTTTCATCATAAACTTTACAATAAGAAAGAACATGGAAATAGTTATGTTGCTTCATTAGAAAAAAGAAGCTCCAGAATCAACACCTGGCATTGGCAAACTTCAATCTTGCAAGATTTACTTCACTGTTTATAAGAACATCAGCCCAATCAGTGAGAGCCAGTTGTAAACTAATATTGGATTGTCTCTTTTGACAACTGTTACATCACAGTTTCCTTGACATTTTGATGCATTTTGATGCTTCTTGACTTGTTGTTTATGCCCTTTGGGTTTTTTTTTTAGTTTTCTTTAATCACTTTAATAAATTAGCTAGAAAAATTTGCTTGATTTGTTTGGCAACATTCAAATTTGTTCCTGAATTTTTTCCCAGACTAGAAAGCTACTGCATGAATTATAATCTCAATGGCTAGACACTTTTTTTCCTCTTGATCTATTAGATTTTTTAATTACATTATGGCTTCTTCAAAAACCCACAGTTGACTGGATTCACATTGTCACAGAGTCACAATGTCATAAAGCAAAGTTTACAAACTCACATTGGTTGACTTTATTCGATTTGTTATGCTAAAAGCAAATCAATCATTGTGGGATTGGTATAGTGATTAAGGCACCAGGCCAAAAATTGGGGGATTGGGAATTCTAATTCTACTTTAGGCATGAAAGCTGACTGGGTGACTTTGGGCCAGTCACTCACTCTCTGGCCTAGGAAGAAGGCAGTGGCAAAACACTTCTGAAAAACCTTGGAAGAAAACAGCAAGGGAGTCAACTCTGATGTGAATATGTACACATGCACACGCAGATACATACATGCACAAATTAAGTAGCAACATAACTGTCCTTCATTATTATTGCCACATTTTAATTTCCTTATAAGCAGAAGGAAAGAATTTCGCATTATGTTAGCCTCTTTTGTTGCCCAAATTTTAATAATTGACTGTTCTGGGACTTCAGCGTTATGGGCAAATCCCCAATATTTATTAAAGAAGAAATGTTGCTCTGCCAGGGAACTCTTTCCTTGCTTGAATAAGACATGAGGGACGAGAAAATACTTTGGAACAGGGGTCTCCATCTTTGGCAACTTTAAGATTTATGGACTTCAACTCCCAGCAAAGCTGGCTGAGGAATTCTGGGAGTTGAAGTCCACGAGTCTTAAAGTTGCCAAGGTTGGAGACCCCTGCTTTGGAGAACATAAAACATCTCTGTAATTTGAAAAATACCCCCCCACCCCAAAAAAGGACCTTTGAAGCAAACTTGATCCCTAATAACCACAAGAACATCCATGCAATTTTCTTGGCAGCAATGGGAACATTATTTGCTATTGCTTTCTTCCATAAAGTTTTATTGACTTTCCAGCCTAGATTACAGTTTTGGGATTCCCTAGTATTTCCCATCCAATCTTAGCCAGATGCTGCCATGAAAAAAAAAAAATCCAAAAAATAATATTCCTATTCCAGCCTTTTTCCTCATTACTGGAGAAAGTTAAAAGCAGTAAAGACAAAAGCACCGTGGAATATAGGGGCTTATTTGCAGATCATATTTTATAAGCCATCTGCAAAATTCCTGAAAGAAACAGGCAGCACTTGCAGACATTCATTTTTGTCTTCATTTTTGTGGAATGCTTACATATTGTTTAGATCAGCGGCTCTCAAACTTGGCAACTTTAAGTATTGTAAACTTCAACTCCCAGAATTCCCCAGCCAATATGTTTTCCCATCTCTTGGATTATGTATATAACCCCTTGTCTATCATTTCTACTGACATGCAAAATAAGCTTTCTTTGCGGTTTAACCATTTCATTTCTGATTTCTCTCAATTCTCCTCGCATCCCTATTTATTAGCATAGAGCTTTCTTGCCAGGATTTATGGAGGTATTGGAAAACAAGCTTGTTGCCATGGTAACCATGCAGCTTTTAATTTCATTCATTTATGTTGCAAAAAATAAAAACATAGACATTTGCCTAATGTGAATATCAGCATAGACCTGGGGAAGAAAAGGCTAAATCAGAAACTTTTTGATTAGATTTTAATCTAGATTGTAAGGGTTTTGGAAATGGAAGGGCCAGCAGTCTGGAAGAGCTTATGACAGGGCTGTCAAACTCACATCGTCACAGCGGCATGATGTGACATATTACAACTTTCCCCCCTTCGCTAAACAGGGTGTGAGTGGGTGTGGCCAGCGCATGATGCATCCGGTCCCCAGGCAGCAAGTTTGATACCCCTGACCTATGATGATTACACTGTAAAAGTTTCATTTGGACAGGTTTTCAATTCTTATAGATTAAGGATTAAAATAATTTTAATCCTTCAGTCATTAAATAATTGAGAGACGGACCACCATCTCTCAATCACCATTGTTGATCTACACAAATCTTTTGGGAAGTGTACCAGCAGATATTGGTTGGCCTCACTTGTAAGCTATTATTTACAAGATTCAGACACTTCACCTATTTTCATTAATTGGAGCCAAATGGGACAGAAAAACATTTTTAAAAAATGTTTGGTGGTGCATTCATAAAGGTTAAGGTTAGCAGTTTTCAAGATGAAGAGCAAGAAAAAATTTCTGTAATAGGACCAGCCTTTCTAAGCAGCAGACAGGACTATAAAAACACAACCATAAGAATAAATAGGAATAAACCCTTCCTTATTCTTAAAGTGTATATAATAATAACAATGTGTTTCTTCTGACTGTTGTTCTGACCAGTGGTCCCCAATCTTTGTGGCTCCACAGACCGGTAGTGGTGATGGCGGTGGCAGGGGCAAGGGTTGTTTCATGTGCACGACCTAATGCCACACATGTGCAAATGAAGCTTTGTGCACCATACCTGTTGTGGCCCGTCAGCAACCTGTGTGGATTGTAGCTGATTCTTACAGTGAGAAGGCTGGTGTGGTATTGCGCCAGCAGCCTGGGCAGCTGGCACCTGAGTCAGACAATGAGAAGACAGGGATTCAGCCAGGGCCTTTAGAACCTCCAGAAGCTCCTTTAAGTGAAGAGGACGAAGAGGAGGAGCCTCTTCTTGATGCACGGGTGCGCAGAGCTGCCAAAAGGCAGGAGTGGATTCTCAGGAGGAGGTCTCATCGAGAGTAAGGCTTGGGGCTAATTGGCCACTCCCTTAGCCTATTTAAGGGGTAATGCTGACTGAAGCAAGTTGTAGGGAACAACTTTAGTTCATTCTCCTTCGCATCTGGATCTCCACAAATTGCTTCTGGGCTTTTTGCCAACCTTAGTAAGGTTGTGATTACTTTATCTTTGTTTTTTTGTAGGCTGTTAAGGAAGTTTATTAACAACATTTGTTTGGAAAAGACTAAGTTATTTTAGTAAATTTAAGTTTTGTACAAACTTTGTGTGTGCTGTGTTCTTTGGGGTCCGTAGCTGGGGCAGACAATACTCTCCATGTGTATGACCCTGTTCCCTGGAGTGGTATCAGTCTGTGGACCAGGAGCTGGGGACACCTGTTGTAGACTGTCAGTCTGGAAGCCATCTTTTACTTTGGATCTTCAGGACTGCCACATTTAGTGCTGTGGGAAACTGGGAGGAGGGATTGTATGGAGTGGAGAGATATCTAGCCATAATAACATTCTTTTCTTTGAGAGTCAAGGACATTCTGCCCTGCAACTGGAGTGGGGTGCCTGGGAGGCATCTCCAGTTGGGAAGGTGCATTGATTGGACCCTGTGATGGACATGTGGGTGCAGGGGAAAGGGCTTGCATGTTCTTTTGGGTTGAGAAAACCTGGAAGCTTTCAGATTTAGGTTTCCCCAGATGTGTCAATATGACATCTCTGATAAAATGGAACTTTGAGGAAACTCTACTCTCAGAGTCTTCTTTCATTGGGGGTGTTACTTGGAACCCTGACATAGACAACACATCATTTTTTTAATATACACACCAGAGGAATAAGTAGCAAATTTGGATACTAATTTTAAAATTGTACTATAGGCAGAAAAATACAAAAGGCATAACAGGTATTTTTGTTAACATGAAATAAATTTTAAACAGGAGCTCATAATGCATCTACTATAACTTTATAGTTGTTATTTAGAATGGGAACAGGACCTGTCTTAAGTATTCCAGACCAGGTGGAAAACCAGATGGAAGCAGGGTTTGTTTCCAGATTACGGTTGTTTTTGAAGGCTTTGCTTGCTCAGGCATGTGCAGAAAACCTGGAAGATGATCTTGCATGGTTTTATTAACCGGGCCTAGAGCGTTTGCATGAAACAGAACGTTTACATTAGGAATGAGAATGGATTGCAATCATATATACCATTAAATGTAAAACCACATAGCCTGATCTTATATAGTTGTTCTATTGAGGCCTTGAGCCAAGGGACCAAAAGTTGGAACCACAAAAAATATGCAGAAATATATAAATTTTCAACAATTGTTTCCTTAAAGTTCATCCACGTGATGTTGATAGAAATATTTGTTATTATTAAGATAAAGCTACATATGTTCCAGGAAATATAATTCCTATACTGTTCTGAGAGGTTTATTTATTCATAAATATTTCATATTTCTTAACCACCCATCTCCCTTATAAAGGATGGCTGAATATACTTTATATAAATTCTGTAGAAGTAGAATTGGTAAGATTAGTAAATTGGACTGCCTAGGCACCATCATGTAACCAAATGAATTCACAAAGTTTTATTTTTTTCCCCAGCACTTTCCCATCTGCCTCCCTTTCCCTAGCTTAGGAGCAAAAGAAGGCAATATAAGATATCCCAAAGTTAAAATTCTTACCAGGATGCAAAATCCCTTTTACGTTCCAAAGCAATTCATATATGTTGTTTTTCATTCTCACTCTATTTCAGTGGCTTGTTTACAGAGCACAGCATAGCCATGAAGTCAATCAGTTATCAACTATTTACATCACTGTCATCATACCATGATAATTACTGGCTTTCATCTTTACATCAGCGTGATCAATAATGAAGCATGAAGGGACCTGTGGTCCACCCTCTAAAGGACCACATATGGAGCAGGCATATGGAAACCTATCACCATCTACTAGTCAGAGTCCTACCACCTCATTAAAAGTATCTAAAATAACAAAGTCTCCAACTTGTTGTTTCTTCCTGATCTTTTATCTACATCATTATGCACTGACTACTCACATTTTACCTAATTTTTCCAGTTCATATTCTTGTTATTCTGAATTAAAAACAAGAAGAGGTCAGGTACCACATCTGAAGAGACCCTACATGATGATCTTTTTCATTCTGGACTGAAAAGTTAAAGCCATCTTTCTTGAAGTTATAGACTAAGATGAATTTATAGTCCTTTATTTGAATGCATACATTGGTCCTTCATCCTGTAAATTGTATTGGGATCTTAATTATTATTGCAACCACAGCTTTCCTTCAAGGCTTAAGACCACGGGAAGGAAAAAGAATCCCTTTGAATTTCTCTTTCTCTTTAAATATGCATAACTGGATTGTAAATATTTCATTGGTTCTCCTGCATCATGTTACCTCACTGGGTTGTGCTGTTGCCAAAACCTGTGTTACATGAGCTACTGTGAGGTTTTATTAGTTAAAAGTTCAAGCAAAGTGGAATCTTTCCTCTCAGACTTAAATTAACTCCAGAAAATCAAGAATCAGGTATACTGGAATTATTAGTGGAAAAATGAGGACATTTTGAGTCATGATTTGCGTTGTTTTCTTAATTTGCAGATCTTATTTCTCTTTCTTTCTAATCACATATAATATATTAAAATGAAAATAAAGTGGTTTAACCAAAAATTTAAAAATTGATATACAATTCATATTCTTTTGGTGTGGGATATCTTCTAGGAGCATGATGATTTTGCTAACACAATTGAAATATTACAATTTTCTGTTTTAGCACATAAATTAGACTATTCATTCTGCAGAATGTTTTTATAATAGCTACTTGGATTTTTCTTTTCTCCAGGAGGTTGACCACATTCTTTCCATTTCACGAATAATACCTTTTTGAAGGAACTAGAAAGTGCCAAGATGAAAGTATTTTGATTTCATGGGGCAAGCAACAAAAATCATGCAGGCTTGAAGACTGCATTAATGAAGCATTTCATCTATGATTGTTCCATGATGGGAAGAGAGTGGAGTGAACTTGTTAGTACTTCTAGAGAATTTCTCTACCAAATTTTCACACATGCTATTTAAAGAGACAAGCTGCAAGTTGTAAGAGAGAAATTTGACTTCATTTTAAAGTGTAACACTCTTTTTTTAAAAAAAAAGAAAAGAAAAGAAAAAGAAAAAAAGGGGAGGGGGGAAAGATTTGAAAGGCTTTTCAGCCAAGCTGCAATTTTCACCTTTAATGAGAAGTTAGCTGTCTCAGACTAAAGGGAAGACATGGCATGAACTACCCTTCAGTTTGATTGCACTCAATTGTCCTTCAGAAGCTTGTTAGCAGGAATTTTCTCAAGCATGTTTCAGAATGATCAGGAGTTGCTGATGTGAGATTTCTCAGGTGAAGTGTGCTTGAAGGATGCAAACCTTTTTAATGGAAGCCTGACATTTCTGAGTTTTCCTCTTGCTGAATAAATAGCACCGATACATACCTGCAGACTAGAGCAGGCAGTGGAGTATAATCAATATCAAATACCTATGAAGACATATGCAGATTCAAATTTATATATTATCCTTGACATCCCGTTCTATTCTACCTCCATTCAGAGCAGAAATTAAAATGGACTTTCACCTTCCCATTTAATCATATTACTGATTGCTATATGAATATTATCTCTTGTTATACTTTATATATTAGCACTTACCTTGAGAAGCCATGAAGCTGCCTGGATCACTTCTTCAAAGTAATCTGGGTTAAAGAAAAAAAAAAAAACCCACACGTGCTACCTGGTTGCAACAGGGCAGAAGGGGAATGGAAAAAGCACAGCATGCAGAAAGTTCAGATAATGTCTGTCTACAAGTCAGGTTGCAAAAGAATAGCATGGAAACATATCACCTTTCTTATATTACTGATTGCTGCATTTTGCTGGTATGAGCAACAGGGGGAGATAATGCCTGGAATTGAGAAAAAGAATTCTCTATCTGTGTGAATAATGAAAAGAAAGAGGATGCATATAAACAATCATATTTAACAAACTAGCTGTTGTATTAATGGCTGTGGGATTAAATTTCACGTGCATATCGTATGCAGTATGTTGCTTTTACATTATCCGCTAACTACCTCAACATTAAGATGCATGAATTAAAGAAAGGTGATGTCACAATGTTTTCTATGGGAACAGAAGAAAATGTGAATGTATGATGAAGGTTTTATCCTCCTGTCAGTCAGCTTTTATCAAGGGAAATTGTTCCGTGGCAGAAGAAAATCATACCTAGGAAACTGCTTGTTTGTCTTGCAATGGAAATAGAATTCAGATGTGGAGATATTTCTTCAGAATCTAGACACTACATTATAAAGCTAATGGTCATCCTAAAAGCATTAGGAAAAAAATAACCTTGAGTTGCCAGTTTATATTTCTAACTCATAATCAAGTTGCCATGGTGATTGTGTCCACGTCTGACTCACACAGCCATGATTCACAACTATTAAGTGACCACAAAAAGGGCAATAGAAGAAAAAGCTGTCATGCAAATCTCAGCAGGTTGAAAGTCATTGTTAGCTAACATTGATAGTTATCTATACATGTTCAAGCTCATTTTATGATGTCTTTTTAGTTCTTTCTCAGGATAATTACATCTAAATTGTATTTTCATATGGCTGATGGCAGAACTACAATTTAAGCCCTTTGCCCCCATTTATTCAGAGAAATAGCCTGTGGTTTGAGATTCATCTTTTTATATACTGAAAAATTCAGGACATACACTAATTTTAATTTATAGAATTTGTTGGTACAAGATTCCATTCAAGATTGATGGATACTTTACTTATGCCATACAATAGTATATGAAGACAGTTCAAAACATTTCTATGCAACATAAGATGTGTTGACTACACATTTTAATGATTAATGACAAATTAGACATTTTTACGGAAAGCTAATATATTAATAGGTCCCATTAAAAGAAAGCATAAAGCCCTGATCAATATTTAAACCTCTTAAGAAGGGGTTTAAATATTCAAACACACACACACAGATAAAATTTAATTCTGTGGTGTAAATAGATGGAACATGATTTTATAATTATATTTCTAACCTCAAAAGCATATTATGTGGCACAATCTGAACTGTGCAGAAAAGGCTGAAGTATATATAGGTTCTGACCTTGCATATAGAAATAGGAAAGGATAAAAACAACGAGGCTTTAACATAACATGTAGAACTGAATCAACGAGTCCTAGTTTTTTATATATTTATCAGTTTATTCTCTGTAAAAATGTGTAATAGATTTTTTTCTCCTTGAAAATCTGTTTCCCTTCCCCCACTTCTTTTTATCTGGACTCCCCCCAAAACACCTTGAAAATCCCAACCTTTAATCTGAGACTCCAGGTAATTAAGGTACATTAGTCTTTTCTTTTCTTTTCTTAGCTTTGCTCCAACAACTTGGACAGATTTTAAAAAGGAGAAGCAACATTTTTATCCCCCAAATAAAAGGCAGTCATTAGACACACTCTGTGCATGTGACAGGCAGACCCTGTCCTTCCTGAAGAAGTGGGCTCTACGTCTGCCTTATCTGACCGGCTAGCTGGCTGTTTGTCATTTTGCTTTATTTTTTCCTTTCTTCTTTTATTGCTCCTCTTCTTCCTTCCTTCTTTGATTAATAAAAAAAAAGAATTCTGAAGACGAGCCCCAATGAAGACCAAGTACTACAGACAAAAACAAGAAAGGTCTCACCATCACGTGTATCAGCTGCCAGAAATTAGAATTATGTTCCAGATCAGACTGTTTTTGACATCAGGATAGGAAGCCTAACATCTGAAGCCCCAGAAGGGGTGGAGTGGAGCAGCTGAAACCTCCATCTAATTCTCTATTTTAAGGCATAAGTTTAAAACAGTTTGACAGATGGTTTAAATTTCTTCCTGCATTCAATGCTTTGGAAAAGGAAACTAAGTTTAATAATAAATAAAAACATGGAATGGAACAAAGAAACATGAACAAATCCCCATTTTGGAAAACTCAAGGGTCTACTAAAGTTGGAATGCTTCAACCTAACATTAGATTCATCTCCCTTGAGAAAGGATGTTTGGTGAGGGAATTATATAGAAAAGAAGGATGAGGCTAAGTTAGTATAAGATTTGGTCTGAGAATTTAAAGTGCGTACAAGAGGAAAAGATTTTTATTTCAAAAGAGGATGTCTTTTAAATTAAAAACTAAAACCAGGCTAAAAAAGACATGTTTGGATTAAACTCAAGAACCAGATCCTTCCCATATTTTAAATGTTCAATTAAGTCTTTAAAAGATCAGCTTGGAAATATAGGATCAACTGGAAACATATATTTTTAACAGTTTGTATGCTGCCTTTCCAAATAAATTTTTCCAGATTTAGTTTACAACAGTGAAGAACAGAGGATCCATTTGCTTTTGCCAAGTGTAATGAAACATATGTAAACTATTCACTATAAACCGATAAAAAATGGCCTATCAAAAGAGAGGTTATATATGAATTTGTGCAAGCTGCAGCTAAGGATCAAGTTCAAAAACTGACCTTTTTGTATTACACTTAATATAAGTCAGGGAATATTGGTTCCTCGGTAAGCTTTGTTCCTTAAGCCTCTCAGCTATCAGAATCATTCAGCACAGACAGAGAAGGTTCTTATTATGGGATTTGCAGCTGAAACATGTTTTCCTAATGGAGTGATTTACAATTTGAGGTGTCAGAATGATTGTTATCATGGGCAGCTGATGCTCATTTGATTGTTTCAAGCATTCTGTAGGTTCTTTTTCCCTTTTTCAGACAAGATAATGTAAAAATAAAGACCAGTATAGGAATTGTGGGGGTGTCAATATGTTTATTTTTTTTTCTCCAAAAATGATTTGTCTCTTTATTCTTACCTTATTCCAATGGCAAGCTTGCTTTTGACAAATAATCAGTAAGAGAGAAGTAAATTGCTTTGGCCTGCATGGTTTTGGAGGGTCTCTGTGTGCAGTAAAAGAAGCTGCTAGTCTACAAAACCAAGTGTAACAAATTGAAGTAACAAATCTCTGCAACATAAAAAGGCTCTTTTGCTGAAGGAAAGACCAAACATTATGATCAAAATGGAGAAAAGAAAAAAAAAGTTGTGTGATAGGGAAAGGGAACCATAGCAAAAAGAAAGACAATTATGCTTGTGAAGTCATACCAGACATTTTCAATAACATACTTTTCTTCAAAATAGTTACAAAAATAATGTTACCTTTTTATGTTTTCAGAACATGTTTACTGCTTACAAGATAGAGGATAGAAGAAGATTATGTCCTCGACAATAGCTTCCCTGGCTGAGCTAGATTTCTAAAAACCTTTGGCACTCACAAAAAGCTCCATTGTGAAGGAGGATATAGAGAGAGCACTAATACATACGTCTCTCATTTCTGCCATATTCCTGTTTTCTTCACTAAACTTGGTTCAAGACCTATTATGTTGACAGTCTATTCTATAAGACAACTGCTTCCAAAGGATTCCAGATCATATTACCTGCCAGTGTTCTACATTAAGATCCATTCATGCCTGGGATCAAATAGCTTCAATAGAGGCTTACATAGGAATTCAGTCAATCGCAGCCTAACTAAACTGCAAAAGGAAATGATCATAGCTTGGTACATGTACCAGATTTAACATTTGATATTTACAATTAAAAGACCGTGATGAGAAGAAAGAGTTGTCAATACTTGGCTAAATGGACAGTTAGGGAGAGCATAACGTATTTTTCATGTATGTTCGTAGATTCATCCATATATAACATTTTAGCTGCTTTAGGCACAACTCTTTTGGTACTTCCTAGGCCAATTACCCCACTCTGTTTTCAGTATGTCCAAATGCTACTTTAATTGTAATTGTAATAGAAGGAAGCAGTTATGCAGTAAAAGAAAGTGTGACTATCTGAATTTCCAAGAACATATATACTGGATTATATATAGACCTAATAGTCTTGAGAGTCATTTTGATGTAGGGGTTAAAGGCATAAGGGTAAAAAAAAAACTGGGAGACACTGAGTTCTAGTTCAGCCTTAGGGACAAAGTCAACTTGGTGATTTTGGCCTACCCAGATTCTTTCAGCCCTGGACAGAAAGCAGTGGCAAACCATTTCTGAAAGTGTTGCTGAGAAATAAATTGGCCTGTAATCCAGAAATCAAAAGTGTTTGGAAGATATATGTACACACACACACACCCTACCACCACCACCAAGTATTTAAAAATAAACCTTGTAGGTGACCATATCCTCATGCTTACTTTGCTAATTTATCCACATCTCTCTTACAAAAAAGTAAAGATAAGTGTCGTATTAATATTATCTATTCTGGAGGATTAAAGTGAGTATGAGGGAACATCCTTTCCACTGTGGACCTTTAGCTTTTGGCCTTCCCATTATGTATTCTTAAAATGTCAGCTATCTCTAGTGGTTTCTAAAAGGTTGGGGGACTTTTGTGTCTGAGTGTAGACTAAATCTTGAGTGTTCTTTTCTTCTAGGCAATTTCAACCATTTACCCAGTTCTCACTGGATGTTTTATTCTAGTTGTAATTCTGCCTTTGCAGCTTAGGAATTT